CCCCCAGCGCCCCGCCCCTGCACACGGCGCTCGGCCCCGCCCCTCAGGGCCCCACCCCCTCTTCACACGGCGCTCGCCCCGCCCCCAGCGTGGTCAGGCGCTCCGAGCCGGCCGGTTTGGCGCCAAACGGTTCGGTCTTCGACGCGCGAGTCGCCAGAGCCGCGTTCTCAGTCGGAATACTGGGCCCACCGCGGAATCCCGAGCAGGGTTCTGAGAGATTCGCCTTAAAGACCCTGAGGGGAGGCCAGGTGCGAGGAGAGGCAGCAGGGAAATCGAGGCGCCTGAGGACCCCGAGGGCAGCTTCGGGGCGCCCCCTGGCGATTGGGGCCCGGGCGCTGCTGTCCTCCCTGAAGGAGCCGGAGTCCCGCCGGGGGCGGGGTCCCAGCCTCGTGCCGGTCCGCGAGGCCCGGCGAGGCCGCCCGAGCCCCAGGCCGCTGGGAGTCACTTGGTAGAACACCCTCGGGAACACTGTGTATACCCCGGGGAGAAGAAGTGGATGACGTTTCCCGAAGACAGCCTGTGGAACTTGGGGTGGTTTAGCTGAGGGACGATGTTCTAGAAGATTCCATTCAAACGGTGTCTCCATTGCGCCTTTCCTTCCCCCCACCTCCCGCTTTACTGATTTTTGTCCCCTTTGAGCAGGCTTCTGCTTGGGACTGTGGTATGAAATGAGGGAATAGAACAGAATGAGTTTATTAAGTGAGCATGATTGGTGCCTTCAAGCTTGTTTTAAAAGCAAAATTCCACAATGTTGAATCAGTTAAAGATCTTGTTAGGGCCTTTCATTCCCAACCTTTTAGTATTGAGTCTTCACCATATTTTTACAAAATCATATAAGTTTTAAATACTGTATAACAAAAAACAGTGTGTGTGTGTGTGTGTGTGTGTACGCATACGCCAGTCCTGGGACTTGTACTCAGGGCTTGGGCACTATCCCTGAGCTTTTGTGCACAAGGTTGGCGTTGTACGACTTGAGCTTTTTGGTGAGTAATTGCTGATTAGGGCCTCTTGTACTTTTCTGCCCAGTTTGAAACTGATGGATTACAGGTGTGAGCCACTGGTGCCCAGCTAACCAATATTTTAAAGAAGTGAATTATCAGAGCTCCCATTCACAGTAAGAAGAAATACATTAATTGCATATAAGAAAAATAATCTTTGTTGAGGTTAGACTAAGCTTGAGGTACCAAGAGAAGATACAAGGAAGAATGACACAATGTCAGTGTTTGAGAAGTTGTTAAGTATGATCTTGAAAAGTTAATAGCTCCCAAAAAGCAATAAAGTTATTTCCATAGTTATGATTAAGTGTGCAAAAGGAAATCAAGATATAAAAAGGTCATTAGTGTTGAGGAAAGAGAAACTTAAGTTGTGCCCATCCTAGTCCCTGTCCCAGCATACACAAGAAATAATGCCACAAGTATAGTCAAAAAGATAGACCAGGCCAATGCTTCCAAAAGATATAATGTCCTTTCCTGATCACTGTTGACTTTGAAATGAAATCAGAGGCATCTCAACAAAGGTGTTTTGTTTTTCTTTCCTGTATGAACTACAGCCACTTAATATTTCTTTTTTTTTTTTTTTTTTGGTCCGGTCGTGGGGCCTGAACTCTGGGCCTGGGCGCTGTCCCTCAGCTCTTCAGCTCAAGGCTAGCGCTCTACCGCTTGAGCCACAGCGCCACTTCCAGCTTTTTTCTTTTTGCTTATGTGGTGCTGAGGAATCGAACTCAGGGCCTCAGGCATGCAAGGCAAGCGCTCTACCAATGAGCCACCTTCCCAGCCCCACTTAATATTTCTTATTTTCCCAGAATTGGTTGTTTTTCTGCTCCCTCTCAACATGAAGGAGGATCATGTACAGGAAGAATCAGGATTCCAGGATGAAGAGGTATGACTACAAAGCCTGAAAGATATGGAGACATTTAGTCATTCCACAAAAATCAAATTCCTTTATCTGATATTTTTAGAAACTGAAGGTAGAAATCTGACATAGGTATATATTATAAATATGTAACAAATTGTTTGGCAAGGGGTGCTACTTAACAAATGGTTTAAAGTGATTTTTGTTAGTTTTGTTTTTGTGAGGCAAGGGATAGAACCTTTGGTCTGATTTATCTTAGGCAAATGCTGTGTTACAAAGCCACATCCCAGTCCTGTATTTAAGTATTATAAATACATTGGTTAGTATGACCTTACTGGTACCCTTGCACCCTGGTATATAGCAGCAGTCTGAACCTTAGAAAAATAAGATCAAGAGCTAGAGAGGAATAAGGTTGAGAAAATATTTCAAATAGGTAAAATATTGTTCCACTGCTTTGGATAAAGTTTTTTTTGTTGTTGTTGTTGTTTTTGTTTGTTTTTTTTTGTTGGTCATGGGGCTTGAACTCTGGGCCTGGGTGCTGTCCCTCAGCTCTTCAGCAAAAGGCGAGCACTCTACCACTTGCGCTATAGCACCATTTCCAGTTTTCTAGTGGTTTTATTGGAGATAGGAGTCTCACGGTCTTTCCTGCCTGGGCTGGCTTGGAACCACAATCCTCAGATCTCAGCCTCCTGAGTAGCTAGGATTACAGGCGTGAGCCACCAGCACCTGGCTGGATAAAGTTTTTTTTTTTAATTTTTAGGAAGCTGTGGAAAAAGGATTGGCTAACCAAACTTACAATATTGGTGTTGTATGTAGCAATGCAGTTGAAAAAAAAATTAGTGCTTCCACTTCAGTCTGCCTACACAAGTAGAATTAGAGGTATTTTTAAAGTGACTCAATAATGAATTAACTCTTTAAAAATGCAAAACAGTTGGATATGAATAAAAACTCCATTTTCTGTTGCATTTCATTTAGGAGTCTTTGTTTCAAGACATTGACCTATTACAGAAACATGGAATTGTAAGTAGTTTTTTAACTTAAATTATCCAACTCAGAGTTTCTCGTTTTTTGTTTTGTTTATTTGGTGCTAAGGAATTGAACCCAGAGCCGCATGCATGCAAGGCAAGCACTCTACCACTGAGCCACCTTCCTAGCCCCCCAACTCAGAGTTTCTGAACATTGGCCTTACTAGCATTTGGGACTGGGTAAATCTTTGTTTCGTGTGGCAGGTTTATCTTCTGCATTGGAGTTGGTCCCAAGATGTGAGAGAGTGTGCATTGAGAAAGTAAAAAGGCAGCTAGAACCAGTCTTTTCTTGTTGTTTTTCCAGTACTAGGGTCTAAACTCAGGACCTTATGCTTGCTAGGCAGGCGCTCTTAACACTTAAGTCACATCCCAGCCCCTTTAGCTTTTATTATTATTATTTTTGGTCCGGTCATGGGGCCTGAACTCTGGGCCTGGGCGCTGTCCCTCAGCTCTTCAGCTCAAGGCTAGTGCTCTACCACTTGAGCCAAAGCGCCACTTCCGGCTTTTTTCTTTTTGCTTATGTGGTGCTGAGGAATTGAACCCAGGGCCTCATGCATGCAAGACAAGCGCTCTACCACTGAGCCACCTTCCCAGCCCCTGTCCTTGAGCTTTTTTTGCTCAAGATCAGCACTCTACCACTTGAGCCACAGAGCCACTTCAAGATTTTTCTGTTTGTGGTACAGAGAAATCAAACCCAGGGCTTCATGCATGCAACACAAGCACTCTACCACTAAGCCACGTTCCCCGCCCAATTACCAAGATTTTTGAGTCACAGTATTGACTAAGACAAATGCTTTCAATCCAGAATGTATTTGTTTGCCTTAAGCTAATATCAAAGAGGCATATTCCAAGGTCTACTCTTAGTGGTCCACATACCATTCTAACAATTTGATCTTTATACTATACTGGGAAACTCTACTGGAAAAACTAATGTCACTCTGAGGCAGTCATGACAGTTAAAACTCAAAATGGCTGCGATCATGTCAAATCCCTTTCTCTACTCAGTAGCACCCTTCTAAAACTGTCACTGAAAACTGTCAAGAGCCTCAGGTTCAGAATAGTTCCTAATAGAGAATGACTGATTAAACTGGAAGTTCAGAACTCTCAGTAGAGCTAATCCCTGTTTTTTTTTTCAAGTCAAACATTATTGGACAGATACTGCTTCCATTAACAGAAAACTTAGTTTTGTCGGTTAATGGATGCAAATGATGGCAGAAACACCAATTTTGAAAAAAAGACTAGCTGGATTTCAGTGACTATCACCTATGCTATCTTTTATTTTTCTGGTTCTGGGGCTTGAACTCAGGGCCTGGGAACTGTCCTTGAGCTTCTTTTGTTCAAGGAGATCACTCTACCACTTGAGCCACAGTGCTACTTCTGCCTTTTTTTTTTGTTTGTTTGAGTAGTTTATTTGAGATAAGAGTCTCACAGAGTTTCCTGTCTGGCTGGCTTTGAATCCTAATCCTCAGATCTCAGCCTCCTAAGTAGCTAAGATAATAGGCAAGAGCCACCAGAAATTGGCCTATGTTATCTTCTGAAGTTCATGTTTAATCTCTTTCCATTGATTTTTGAAAACAGAAGCACGAGAAACTCCCAGTCTTTTGGTGATGTAGTTATTTGCATTTTCTAGAGGCAGAAGGGGGAAAAACTTTAAAAAATTTAGAGGAACATATTGGTAATGAAGTTCTATAGAAGGAAGGAGCTGAACTGAGGGGGTGAATGTGTGCTAAATTTGTTAGTTTTTCCACCAACAGACTTTTCTTTTGAGTTCCTTGTTACATTGCCATGGTCTCACTAACATTCTTAGGAAATCAGGGCACAGCCAGAACATTTGGCAGCCTGCTGGGTATGTTCTACTCAGATATTTCCAGAACATTTGTCTATGTGGTGGGTGGGTTCCACCTGATTGCCTGTATAAAGATGGCATTCTGATGGAAAGATGGACTGGAAAGCACATGACATAGTGCGAAAGCCTTTCAGACTGGAAAGCACATGACATGGTGCGAAAGCCTTTCAGACTGGCCTTTAATCAACCTATGTTATCCTTTTATTTACAGAATGTGGCAGACATTAAGAAACTAAAATCAGTAGGAATCTGTACCATCAAAGGGATACAAATGACAACAAGAAGAGCACTCTGCAACATCAAAGGGCTCTCAGAAGCCAAAGTGGATAAGATTAAAGAGGCAGCCAACAAACTTATTGTGAGCAAGACACATCCTTGACTATTCTAGCTCAGAAGGGCCTAGTGAATCTTTGTAACCTTTCTCATTATGAACATTATGAATGTTATCCTGTTATTGTAGGAACTCAAGAGTCCTGTAGATCACAACATTATTCTGTCCTTGTTAACATTTTATCACTTCATTTCCAAAGCAAGAACTGTTTATGAAATCTTGAGGGGTTTATAAAAGATAGGTATTTAAACACCTAGAATAGGGCTGGGAATGTGGCTTAGTAGTAGAGTGCTTATAGTATTCATGAAACCCTGGGTTTCCTCAGTACCACATAAACAGAAAAAAGCCATAAGTGTGTTGTGGCTCAAATGTTAGAGTACTAGCCTTGAAGGACAGTGCCCAGGCCCTGAGCTCAAGCCCCAGGACTGGCAAAAATAAATACCTAGAATGCTAATTAAGGTAATTTTTTTCCAAAACTTTGTCTTCTTTATACTTTTTCTGTTCTTCCTCCTCTTTTTTTTGTTGTTGTTGTTTTGGGTTTTGTTTTGTTTATTTGGCCGAGGGGTTTGACCTTGGCCTGGGCACTGGCCCTCAGCTCTTCAGCTCAAGGCTAGTGCTCTACCACTTAAGCCACAGTGACACTTCCCGCTTTTTCTGTTTGTATGGTGTTGAGGAATCGAACCCAGGTCCTCATGCATGCAAGGCAAGCACTCTACCACTGAGCCACCTTCTTAGCCCTCCTCCTCCTTTTTTTCCTTCTTCTCTTTGTTGGTCCTCGGGCTTGAACTCAGTGCCTATCCCTGATTTTTTTTACTCAAGGCTAGCATTCTACCACTTGCACCACATCTCCACTTATGGTTTTTTGATGGTTAATTGGAGAATCCGATAGACTTTTCTTCCCAGGCTGGCTTTGAACTGAGATCCTCAGATCTCAGCCTCCTGAGTAGCTAGGAATACAGACATGAGCCACTGGCACCTGGCTACCTTCTTTTTACTGAGTTTTTACCTGCCCTCCTTAGTTCTACCTTGTCTTCTCAACCATATCTATGACTGTGATAAAGCACTTGGTATCAAAGAAATTGTACTCTCTTAGTATAGGCCAACTGAAGACTAGCATCAGTCTACATGGGTGCAGTTTGAATAAATATGACTATGAATATGCTCATTGATGCAACCTTCCAGTTGGGGCACAGTAAGTAGCCCATGTAGCTGCTAGGAAAAAGTAGGCTGCTTGCGGGGGGGGGGGTCCCTAGAGATACTAGCTTTATAAGTAGTAACATGCAAACAAGTAGTCACCAAGTCTCTCTCTTTATAGATCAACCTCCTTTATATTTCTCCATTTCTGGGTTCATACCAACTAGTCTGGTCCAGCTGTCTTCATGAACAGCCATTTGGCTTTCTTCTTCAGAAGCAGTCAAGCAGGAAAGTATTGCCAGTGGCATTGTGGGCCTGAATTTGGAAAGGACCCCGCTGAGCTTCTGAGAATGCAGCCTAGTTGCTCAGGCACTGTACCCCAGTGGCCAGTTCCTCAACTGCTGAAGTGTTGAAGCCCAACAGCAGTACCCAACATTTGGGAAACTGCTACTTCATGGCTCTTAGACATTAGTCTTTATCTCTTTGGAAATGAAATCTCATTATCAAAGAAAAGAAACCCTCTTTCACTCAAACATCCTTTTTCTGCACCCATGAGTCTGATCTCTAAGCTAAAGGTGTCCTGGGTTTGTTGCTCTTCCCTCTCCCAAGTTGAGAACCGCTGTAATAGCATGAAACAACAAAGCAGGCACACATTGCACTACACGGGGCTCCATTTTCATTAATTTCACTACATCAGCTGTAGCTCATTTAGCAAATGAGTTGTAAAATGCTGTTGAAAAATGCTGTTATATCACAGTGAAAACTGAAATTTCTGTGCTTTTTTTTAGTTTTTAGCATTTCTATTAAGTATTTGTACAAAGGGGTTACAATTTCACAGGTTGGGTTATGAATACAGTGCTTCTTGCTCACCTCTTTCATTCTCCCCCATTTTCCCCTCACCTCTACCCTCAAGTTACATAGTTCATATTTTATATAATGTACATTGAGTATAAAACAATATTTTCTCACCCCTACTCCCTCCATTCCTGTGCCCCCCACTTTGCCCACCCCCTAAAAAATGTTCTCACTTCCTGGTATTCATTTTGATAAATAGTACTTTAGTTGGTTAGAATTGCACCTTTGGAGATCTGAAGATGGTGGTTCAAAGCCAGTCCAGGCAGGAAAGTCCGTGAGACTCTTATTTCCAATAAACCATCAGAAAACCAGAAGTGGAGCTGTGGCTCAAGTGATAGAGCATTGACCTTGAGCTGAAATGCTCAGGGACAGCACCCAGGCCCAGAGTTTAAGACCCATGACTTACAAGCAAAAAAAAAAAGATGCCTTTGGATTCCTCCCTTAGTATATCCTGCTTTAGTTCATGTATAAATGCATTGAACCCTGTAGGTTATCATGCATATTTGTACTTTAGATCTAGCCTCTACATATAACAGAAAACATGTACCATCTGGCTTACATCACTTAACATGATTTGTTTTAGATATATCCATTTTTCTGAAAGTGACATATATTATTCGTTCTAATGGATGACTAACTTCCATTTTGTATATGTAACACAGTTGCTTGATTCATTCTTCCATTATATAGCATCTAGGCTGTTTCCATAACTTGGCTATTGAAATAGTGTAATGCTCTGGGTAGATGCCCATTTATTGATTGGGTTATTAATTTGGGGGAGGGTAGTTTTTTGAGCTCCTTATATATTTTAGCCTTTGTCTGGTGTTTAACTAGTAAAGATCTTCTTCCAGTCTGTTGGCTATCTTTTTAGTCTAGTAACTATGTTCTTTGTTTTGTAGAAACCTTTTTGTTTGATGTAATACCATTTGTCAAATCTCTTTCCTATTTGCTGTGACCCTGGGACTCTTCAAAAAGTTCCTGCCTATGCCTATAAAGTTCTAATGTTTCTCTTATTCCCTCTTGTAGTAGCTTCAAAGTTTCAAGTCTGAATTTAAGGTCTTTGATACATTTTGAGTTGATATTGGTGCAGTGTGACAGACAGGGATCCAATTTTAGTCTTCTACATTTGGATGCCCAGTTTTCCCAACACCAATAATTTCTGTGCTTTTTGAAACATCTGGAGCTGGAAAAAAAATTCTGCTGAATAAAATCAACTGACTCCTTCAATAAAACACTGTACTGCTTTGTGCCACAAATCTGTCTCATTTACTTTTCACAGGTATCCTATAAAGAGACAAATTACTATACTCATTAAGCCTAACATAGAAAGCTAAAGTACAGCAAGATAAAGTAGCTTACCCCTTATCATACAACTATATAAGTATATACTATACATTATGAGTTGTATTAGTTTGAACTTAGTTTGCTATAGTTTGCTATTAGTTTGCTATAGCTTGAACTTACATGGAAGAGAGCAGTTCTGTGTGTTTTAAACCAGAATCCGGTATTGCCTTTGAAGATAAAGGCAACGAGAGATGACCTTGATCATTGAGCATGTAGTTTTTGGCAGCATTTGACATTGTAACCATCACTTTATGCTTTTTTTTAACCTGTCCTATTATCTTTCCATAGGAACCAGGATTCTTAACTGCATTTGAATATAGTGAAAAGAGGAAGATGGTGTTCCATATCACCACTGGAAGTCAGGAATTCGAGTGTGTATCTCACTTTTTTTTTGCAAATTCTTTATTGTGATTAATTACATAATTTCACAGTATTGTGGGATAGTGATGCTTAAAGTCACAAATACATTCTAACTTTCATGGGACAAATTGTCTGCTTTGGTCTATAAAGTTTTGAGTTCTATGAGACTTTGACAATACAGTTATTTCTTCCACATTGGATCATAGGTACATTCCTTTCCTTTTGCATAGCATCAGCTGTTCCCTCTTTCCCACTCGTTCCCTCCCTCCCATCACTGCCATTGAGTTGCCTAGTTCGTTTTGATCAATGTCCAGTACAGCTGATGGGTCCCGCTGTTGTATGTTTTTCCCTGATTCCCTCTAGTTCTGTGTCCTCCTCCTACTTTTACTCCTACTTTTACTCTGATGTGCACATATATACCATATATGTGATCAGCAACATAGGGTTATTTAGTAGTGATTCAACAAGACGGGTGGAGGTCCTTTGTTTCTCAAGTCTTGTTAACTTTGTCATATCACCTTACGTTATGGATTTAACATCCACTTATCAGGGAGACCATGTGTCATTTGGCTGTTAGCTCTTGGCTTACCTCACTCAACATGATTTCTTCTAGTTCCATCCATTTCCCTGAAAATGCCATTATTTTGTCCTTTCTTTTCTTTTTTCTTTCTTTCTTTTTTTGGTCAGTCGTGGGGCTTGAACTCTAGGCTTAGGTGCTATCCCTCAGCTCTTCAGCTCAAGGTGCTATCCCTTCAGCTCTTCAGCTCTACTGCTTGAGCCACAGTACCAATTCTGGTTTTCTAGTGGTTTATTGGAGATAAGAATCTCACAGACTTTCCTGCCCAGGGTGGCTGCCTGAGTAGCTAGGATTATAGGCTTGAGTACCAGGGCCCGGCTTATTTTGTCCTTTCTAATGGCTGCATAATATTCCATTGTGTATAGATACCACAATTTTTGGATCCATTCATCTGTGGTGGGCATCTGGGTTGTTTCCATATCCTGGCTATTGTGAACAGTGTTGCAATAAACAGGAGGTGTATGTGTCCTGGTTCCTGTTGTTCAGGATAGATGCCTAGAAGTGGTATGTCTGGGTCATAGGAGAGGTCAATATTTAGCTTTCTGAGGACCCTCCAGACTGCTTTCCAAAGTGGTTGTATAAGTGTACATTCCCACCAACAGTGTAATAGGGTTCCTCTTTCTCTGCATCCCCTCCAGCATTTGTCATTGGCTGACTTGAGGATGTGGGCCATTCTGACTGGGGTAAGGTGGTATCTCAAGGTTGTCTTTATTTGCATTTCCTTTACAACAAGGGATGGTGAACATTTCCTCATGTGTTTCTTTGCCATTTTTTTTTGTGGGGGTCCAGTCCTGGGGCCTGAACTCTGGGCCTGGATGTTGTCTTTCAGCTCTTCAGCTCAAGGCTAGCGCTCTACCACTTGAGCCACAGCGCCACTTCCAGCTTTTTTCTTTTTGCTTATGTAGCGCTGAGGAATCAAACCCTAGGGCCTCATGCATGCAAGACAAGCGCTCTACCACTGAGCCACCTTCCCAGCTCCTCTTTGCCATTTTTATCTCTTCTGTGTCTCACATTTTTTTAACCACTTGCCATTTTTATCTCTTCTGTGTCTCACATTTTTTTAAACCACTAAGCACAATCTTTGAATACCATGTAACTTTTCCTCTTTGCGTTGTTTTGCCCAATATGTCCACTATAATTGCCAGAAATAGATACCTCTTTTGAAATAGTTTGTAGGTTTGTTTTTCCACCTAGAGGCAAGGTGCAAATTCTAGACTGCTTTTAAGACTGAGTTCAGTTTTTCCCAAGACATTCAGACCCAACATATAGTTTCTGAATTAGCTATATTAATCTATGAACTTTTTTTTCCAGTGCTAGTCTTGAGGCTTGAACTCAGGGGATAGTTATTGTCATTGAGTTTTTGTGTTCAAGGCTAGTACTCTACCACTTGTGCCACAGTGCTACCTCAGGCTTAGCAGTTAATTGAAGATAAAAGTCCCATGGGTTTTCCTGCCTGGGCTAGCTTCAAACCATAGTCCTCATATCTCAGTTTCCTGAGTAGCTAGGATTGCAGGCATAAGCCACTGGTGCCCGGTACAAACCAATTTTTATTTATTTATTTTTTGCCAGGCCTGAGGCCTGAAATCAGGGCCTGGGCACTGTTCCTGAGCTTCTTTTGCTCAAGGCTTGCACTCTACCACTTGAACCACAGCACCATTTCTGGCCTTTTCTATTTCTGTGGTACTGAGGAATGGAACCCAAGGCTTTATGCACGCTAGGCAAGCACTCTACCACTAAGCCACAGTCTCAGCCCCAAATCCTTTTTTTTTTTTTTTTTTTTGCCATTCTTGGGTCTTGAACTCAGTGCCTAGCAAACTGTCCCTGACCTTTGTTCATGGCCAGCGCTCTACCACTTGAGCCACAGTGCCACTTATGGCTTTTTCTGTTTATGTAGTACTGAGGAATCAAACCCAGGGTTTCATGCATGTTAGGCAAGCACACTACCATACCACTAAGCCACATTCCTAGTCCTGCAAACCATTTTTAAAAAATCAAGTTAACTTTTCATTTCTTTTTCCACTGAAGACTTGGTTTTACTATGTTGTCTAAAGAAAGTCACTGTTTCAGTTAGAGTGGTAGTCAAAAACAATTAGAAAAAAAGGAATAGTTCTCCAAAATATTCATGAAAACTCTTGCTCCATAAAATACTGTTAAGAAAAGGAATTTTAGAATCAAATCTTGCTCCATTTGGATGTCTAATAGGCAACTGATACTTCACAAGTCCAAAAGTCAAGTTTCAGATCTCTGCTCCAAATCTGCTCCTGCTGTAGGTCCCTCATGTCAGATCTTTTTTTCTGGTGGTGGTGGGGAGGCAGTGATCAGTGTTGTGATTTGAACTCAGGCCTTGCACTTTTTTTGTGTGAAAATACAATACAGAGGGGTTACAATTACATGGGCAAGATAGTGAGTACATCTCTTATCAAGCATTGTTGCCTCCTCCTTTGTTTCCCCATACCATCCCTTCCCCTCTCTACCCTCCATGCCCAAGGCCTTGCACTTTCTAGGCAGGAGCTCCAATATTTGAGACATGCCTCTGGTACCTTTTACTTGTTTCCCTCTCCCCCCCACCCCCGCCCTGCGTACTGGGGCTTGAACTCAAGGCCTCAGTTTTTTGTACTCAAGGCTGGTGCTCTACTACTTGAGCCACAGCTCCAGCTTTCTGGTAGTTAACTGGAGAAAAGAGTCACATGGACTCTTCTGCCCAGGCTGGCCTTGAACTTTGATCATCTGAACTCAGCCTCCTGAATAGCTAGGATTACAGGCATGAGTCATGGGTTCCCTGCTACTGAATGTATCTGGCAATTTAAAAGTAGTGAAGTTCAGTGTACACAAGCTATAGCAGGCCATAGCCAACCAGCCATAGGGTTGGAGGGGGTTCTTTTAAATAGGAGAAGTCTACATAGCCAGGCACTGGTGGTTTATGTCTACAATTCTAGCTAGCCAGCCTCGTCAGCAAAGTCCATGAGACTGTCCTCTCCAATTAACCACCAAAGAGCTAGAAGTAGAGATGTGGCTCAAGTGGTAGAATGCTAGTCTTGAGCAAGAAACTCAGTGACGGTGATCAGGCCCTGAATTCAAGCCCCAGGACTAGCACACACAAAAGGAAAAGCCTGTGTAAAGTTTTTTGTTTTGTTTTGTTTTGTTTTTTGGGGGGGTGATCCGGTTGTGGGGCCTGAACTCTGGGCCTAGGCGCTGTCCCTCAGCTCTTTGACCTCTTCAGCTCAAAGCTAGCACTCTACCACTTGAGCTACAGCGCCACTTCTGGCTTTTTTTTCTGCTTACGTGGTGCTGAGGAATCCAACTCAGGGCCTCATGCATGCAAGGCAAGCGCTCTACCACTGAGCCACCTTTCTAGCCCACCTGTGTAAACTTTTAAAAACAAATGTTGGGGCTGGGAATGTGGCTTCATGGTAGAGTGCTTGCCTAGCATGCATGAAGCCCTGAATTTGATTCCTTAGTACCATATAAACAGAAAAAGCCAGAAGTAGCGCTGTGGCCCAAAGTGGTAGAGTACTAGCCTTGAGCAAAAGAAACTCAGGGACAGTGCCCAGACCCTGAGTTCAAGCTCCAGGTGACAAATAATAAAATTAAATAAATAAAACCAAATGTTACAGGAGTCTCTTAAAGGAGTTGATGTTAGTTTAGTGACTAAGACAGCCATTCCTAGACATGTCTTCTTTTTTTATTTTTTGGGTCCGGTCGTGGGGCCTGAACTCTGGGCCTGGGCGCTGACCCTCAGCTCTTCAGCTCAAGGCTAGCGCTCTACCACTTGAGCCACAGCGCCACTTCTGGCTTTTTTCTTTTTTGCTTATGTGGTGTTGAGGAATCGAACCCAGGGCCTCATGTATGCAAAGCAAGCGCTCTACCACTGAGCCACCTTCCCAGCCCTAGACATGTTTTCTTGTATAAGCACTTTATCTGCACTCCTATTATTGAGGAAGTTTTTACAATTCTTTCTGTAGGAACATCTTGTGGTAAATCTTGTTTCAAGCATGTATATATAAGGGCTTCTTTTTCATGGACTTCTTCAACTCACAAGAGCTGATCTTGTGATCTCATAAACTCTTGTTTGAATATGACATAGTGACTGCATTTTTTTTTTTTTTGGGTCCGGTTGTGGGGCCTGAACTCTGGGCCTGGGCGCTGTCCCTCAGCTCTTCAGCTCAAGGCTAGTGCTCTACCACTGGAGCCACAGCGCCACTTCTGGCTTTTTTTTTTCTTTTTGCTTATGTGGTGCTAAGGAATCGAACCCAGGGCCTCATGCATGCAAGGCAAGCGTTCTACCACTGAGCCACCTTCCCAGCCCAGTGACTACATTTTGGTCCTGGCAACTTTCATAATTTCCATTTAGAATTTCATTAGTGTTTTTTTTTTTTTGGTTGACCGTGGGGCTTGAACTCTGGGCCTGGGTGCTGTCCCTCAGCTCTTCAGCACAAGGTGAGCGCTCTACCACTTGAGCTACAGCGCCACTTCCGGTTTTTCTGGTGGTTATTGGAGATAGGAGTTTCACGGTCTCTCCTGCCAGGGCTGGCTTTGAACCAGGATCCTCCGATCTCAGCCTCCTGAGTAGCTAGGATTACAGGCGTGAGCCACCAGCGCCCAGCATAGAATTTCATTAGTCTTAATCATTTGTTAACAAGCAGAATCTTTCCAGATTCTTAAATACATTTTGTAAGTGCAATGAACTTAGAAGTACATAAATAAAATAAATTTTCAGATGTTGTTTATAAACCTGATGTCATCTAATAAATTGTAATCAATATCATTCAATCTTCCAGAGGTTATTCTGTTAGTCTAATAAGGCCAAATCTCTATATTTTAAAAGTTTTTAAACACCAAGTATGTACAGATTATTGCCAACTTTACTATGAAAACATTGTGATTTTGTTTCTCTATGTTTAAATTGCCTTTGATCTAATTCTAAATTTTCTTGGGTTTCACAAAGGAAATGATTATATTTCCCCGAATAATTTGGGGTATCCTCTAGGAAGAATTTAAGGAAACCTTTTCAATGCATTGATAGGGCATAGTAACCAGAAATTTTGTCTAATACTTTCTAGAGCTGTTGCTTTCAGGGTGATTTTTCCCAAGATTAAGAGGGTTAAACAGAACTTTCTTTAATAGTTGCCTGACTTAAGAGACATCCAAGGAGGACTGGAGGCATGGTAAAATGCTATTCCACCAATGACCAAGCCCCTGAGTTCCAACCCCTGTACCAAAGAGACTGAGAGAGAGAAGAGAGATGAGAGGAGGAGGAGAGAGAGAGAGGCAGGAGAGAAGAGAAGAGACTTAGCTATTCAGGCGGCTGAGATCTGAAGATCTCAGTTCTAGGCCAGCCTGGGCAGAAAAATTCTCTAGACTCTATCTCCAAAATAACCAGCAAAAAGAAAGGCAGGAGGTATGGCTCAAGTGATAGAGCACCAACTGACCATTGAATTTAGACCACAACACCATAAGATCCCTGAAAGCCTGTACTCCAAATGGGTTGAATTCTCAACCCTGGTCCTTTTGATTCAAATTATGCAGGTCAGTGTCTAGACTTTTTTTCTTTTGGGGGGGGGGTCTGGTCGTAGTGCCTGAACTCTGGGCCTGGGCGCTGTCCCTCAGCAGTTCAGCTCAAGGCTAGCGCTCTACCACTTGAGCCACAGCGCCACTTCCAGCTTTTTTTTTCTGCTTATGTGGTGCTGAGGAATCAAACCCAGGTCCTCATGCATGCAAGGCAAGCGCTCTACCACTGAGCCACCTTCCCAGCCCAGTGTCTAGACTTTTTAAATTGCAATATACAGCCCATTCTAAATTTATAACTTCCAAAATTGCTTCAATTTACATTTCAATTACTCTTTTAAATTAGGTAAATATTTGTTCTCTTAAGGTTTTGTCTGATTTGTGATTACATTCCAAAAGACATGCAAATTGAAACTGCAAAGAGTTTTTAAATACTTCTATCAGTTCTTAGCACACAATGTTTATTGTATTTAATGAGTGGATGAATAAAATTATGACTTAAATTTAATTCTTTTCATATCAAGAATATCCATTGCACTAAAGGGCTACAGGTTTGGCTCAAATAGTAAAGTGCCTGCCTAGCCAATGCAAGGACCTGAGTTCAAACCCCAGTACCAGAAAAAAATAAAAATCCATTGCACAAAAACATGGGTTATCAATTTAATACATAGTCAAACCCTGCCAGTTATTCTTCTGTTAGCATTTTCTTTTCTTTCTACTTTTTTTTTTTTTTTTGGTCATGGGGCTTGAACTCAGGGCCTACCGGTGCTGTCCATGAGCTCTTTTGCTCAAGGCTAGTGCTCTAACACTTAGAGCCACAGAGCCACTTTCAGTGTTTTGAGTGGTTGATTGGAGATAAGAATCTTTTTTGGGGTGCTGAGAAGGTGGCTCAGTGGTAGAGCGCTTGCCTTGCATGCATGAGGTCCTGGGTTCGATTCCTCAG